TTCACATATTTCTTCTAAATTACGCTATATCCATCAACTTGCCACCTAAACCAAAATACGAGAATACTAAGTACATTTAGGCTTAAAATAATCATATGAGCGCATTAAATAAAGATGCAAAATGTGTATTTTATATTCCTATCATGAAGACAGCTACAAAAAGAATGACTCGGCTTCTGAAGACAGCCCAAACATAGTTCTTGCCGAGGGGTTTGAAGCTCATGAGATCTCCATAGCGTTGGGATGTTTAGGGCTCATGACTTACCTCCATGATAGGAATGAGATCTGAGTTCTTCAGCCTTATGATCAAATGACTAACTTACAGAAGGGGGATAAGAATATGACACAACTAGAGTTTAAGAAGACAAAATATAATTCTATACAATAACAAGTCATCTGATGTATTTAGATGCATTTTGTAATTATTATTAATTTCAGTGTTTATGATGAATAAAACGGGATCTAGTGACTGCAGAAACACATCTAAATGTTCTCCAAATGTGATTCAGAGTGTGCGTGCTGATGCAGGCATGCCACACTTGACTCAGGAACGAAAGTTATACTGTAAGTCTGCAACAATGTAAATAACCTCCGTTCATTAGCTTACTGAACTAGTTTATTAGTCTCAGCAACCACAACTTTTATGTCTGAGCTTCTCAAGGTTGAAGGTCACCAACATAGAGACCTATCAGTGAGTTTCTCTAGCAGTTCTTATGCCTAGAGCATTAATGTAAAGTATCTGGCCAGGTGCTAGTTGTCTGACCTAACTAACAACACAGTATGAGTAGGCAATAAGAAGTTACACAGCCTGCAGTATATGCAGTTTACCAATCCTCATCAGATTAGAGTCTTGAAGCTCCCATTTCAAGTATTATCATTCGTTTCCCGAAGTTCTGGCAGTTATCACACTTGCATCACAATAGAATTTTGAGTCAGTAACTGACTAGACCCGCACTCTATGGATTGTTAATAAGATTTGAAAAGTTGTAACTTAAAAGCTAAACATACTTTTAAGCCGTAAGTTCCCATAAAAGAAATACAATATTTTGATTGATTCTCTAGGTAGTGAATGATGATAAATTCATAATGAAGAGAAATTAAGTGTTGAAAACAGAATGACTGCATTATTTCTCTGTTGATTTCAGCATAAATTCATCAGATAAAAACTATGCAATAACAACAAACTAAGTGCCAGTTTGGGAGAAATTATAAGTAGCTCGTAGCGACCGAAAATTTCTTACTCT